AAAAAATTGGGGGTGGAATGCAGGGGACAGAGGAGGTGGGTTCAAGGGATTTATTTGTATAGTTTGGGTGACACAAGAGCACATTTGTGTTGCTATTGGGAATGATCCAATAGAGTAGGAGAGATCAATGACCCCAGAGAGAGAGAGAGAGATCGAGACGGTGATTCATGGAAGGGAGGCCCTGAAAAGAGAGGGGTATATGAAATCCGTGTGTAAAGGCATGACTCTGACCAGCCGAAAAGGGTACCTGTGCTACAGCATGAGACCCAGGCCCAGGAGCTCTGTGGCAGAAGGAATGACCACATGGTTCCAGTGGCCACTGTTGCTTAGCAACCTGTGTTTAGTAAGATGTTCGTAAGATGTTTCAACTGAATTCCTAATTAACGGGTCATTTCAACTTATGCTAATGGTTCCTGTCACTGGGGTGCGCACTCTGCTTCTTTCCCTCTCCCAAAGTCTGGCACTTCAGACTCTTGTTGAAATGTTCTGAAACTGGGCGCCTGGGTGGCTCAGTTGGTTCAGCGACTGCCTTCGGCTCAAGTCATGATCCTGGAGTCCGGGGATTGAGTCCCGCATCAGGCTCCCTGCTCGGCAGGGAGTCTGCTTCTCCCTCTGACCATCTTCCCTCTCGTGCTCTCCGTCTCTCCTTCTCTCTCTCCCAAATAAATAAATAAATAAAATCTTAAAAAAAAAAATTAAAAAAATTAAAAAAAAAAATGTTCTGAAACTAATGGAAAGCCCAAATTTCTACTTTCTGGTACTGTTGATAAATGTATGCATCAAGATGTGAAAATTAGGGACTCTCACTCAGTCTTTTTTTTTTTTAAGATTTTATTTATTTATTCGACAGAACAAGAGACAGCACAAGCAGGCAGAGTGGCAGGCGGAGGGAGAGGGAGAAACAGGCTCTCCGCCGAGCAGGGAGCTGGACGTGGGGCTCGATCCCAGGACGCTGGGATCATGACGCGAGCCGAAGGCAGCCACTTAACCGACTGAGCCACCCAGGCACCCCTCTCACGAAGTCTTAAAGGGAGGGTGCCAAAGAATGCAGGATATAGATCTCCAGTTCAGAGCCCTCCAATGAACTCCACCCGCCTTCTTCCCCTCTTCCCCACAGGCATCTCAGACTAAATAGAGTCCTTAATACCTTCTATTCAACCACCCAACCTCATTCATTCATCTTACAGTTTTTAACTATTAGAGAACATGCTCCCAGCATCTACCCATTTGACATTTCTTCCCAGAGTCATTCTGGATTCCTTACTCTACCCACTCTATACAATTAATTACTGCCTCCAACACATTTCTCAAAAATTCTACTTTTCTGCGTGCCCTCTGAGTCTGCCCTGGTCCAAGCCACCATCATTCTTCATTGGGATCATTACAAGAGTCTTCTAACTGCTGTTTCTCTCAACCCATCTCCAATCCATTCTCCACACTGCAACCAGAGAGTGGTCTTTTAAAGCATAATCAAATCAATTTACTACCCCACTTAAACCCTTCAAAGGTTTCCCATCACATTCTCCTGCCAACGAGCTGTTTGCCACCCTCCCTAACTTCTGTGTCTCTGGAATGCGCTTTCCCCAACAACCTTCCTACCTCAACTGGCTACTTCTCATCAGGCAAGTCATATCCCCTTCTGGGCGCTCCCTTCCCTCGTGTCCATCACTGCACCCTGCCAAGTACCTTCTCAGCTCAACTAGATGTTAAGTTTTCACTGTCCTCCTGCAGGAGGCAGTGAAAGCCATGTGGATGGACAGAGATGTTCATCTGTGTCTCCCCAGAGTCCAGCACTGTGCCTGGCATGCAGTAAATAAATATTTGATGAACAGCATGATTAGCTATGAGCAGATTCCCTGCCTGTGAAGTTTATGGTTGTACTTTTTTTTTTTTAAGTAAGCTCTATGCTCAACATGGGGCTTGAACTCAGAACCCCAAGATGGAGTTGCATCCTCTACCAACTGAGCCAGACAGGTGCCCCTGTGGTTGTACTTTGAAAATTAATAAAAGATTAAGCAACATATGAAAGGGATTCTTCTTGGCTGTTTTATTCTTCTAGTTGCTGCCCTCCTGGTGTCTAATGGGATGATGATAACCACCACTGACTGTGCCTGGTCTATGGCAGGTACTGCACGTTTCTTATTTCTAGTTCTTACAACCCAATGAGCTGACCCTGTCATTTCCACTGTACAAAGTAAAACCTAGACTCTCTCTGTTTAAGCTTGATGAATCTTGTTGATTCCATATGCCATTTGAAATCATGGAATTTTTCGGGCGCCTGGGTGGCTCAGTTGGTTAAGCGGCTGCCTTCGGCTCAGGTCATGATCCTGGAGTCCCTGGATTGAGTCCCACATAGGGCTCCCTGCTCAGCAGGGAGTCTGCTTCTCCCTCTAACCCTCCCCCCTCTCATGTGCTCTCTCTCTCAAATAAATAAATAAATAAAATCTTTAAAAAAAAAAAGAAATCATGGAATTTTTCAAGTTGAATGAGAGTAACTTAATCCAGTTTACTTGATGAAGAAGGTGAGGCCCAAGAAGGAAGGCTGTAGTCTCCTCATGAAGAAACAGGGCCTAGAACCCTGTTAGTGGTAAAACAAAACCGTTCACCAGAGAACAGCAAGCTGCCTAATCCAGTATTCTGCCTTTAAGAAGTAGCCTGTTTAATCCTTGAAGTCTTATTATCTATCTTTTTATCCCTGAGCACCTAGTATATGCTAGTCTCTGTTCTTGGCTCTGGAAATACAGTACAGAACAAGACAGTCTAAGTCCCTGCCCTTAGGGCACTTACATTCCAGTGGTGGGAGATAGACAATAAAGAAATAAACAAGTGAACAAGATAATTTCAGACAGAAACAGGTACTATAAAGAACTATAAAATGGGTGAAGGGATACAGAGTGAAGGGAGGGAAAAGTTACTTTAAATAAGGTCCCTGAGGAGGTGACTTTGAGCTGAAATTTGAAAAATGAAAGCCATCCAGGGGAAGAGCCACAGAAAGAACATCAAATGCAAAGGCCCTAAGGCAAAGTCAAGCTTGGCAGTCAAGAACAAGAAGTGAGTTGGGGCGCCTGGGTGGCTCAGTTGGTTAAGTGTCTGCCTTCAACTCAGGTCATGATCCCGGGGTCCTGGGATCGAGCCCCGCGTCGAGCCCCGCATCGGGCTCCCTGCTCCGCAGGAAGCCTGCTTCTCCCTCTCCCACTCCCCCTGCTTGTGTTCCCTCTCTCACTGTGTCTCTCTCTGTCAAATAAATAAATAAAATCTTAAAAAAAAAAAAGAACAAGAAGTGAGTAGGGAAAGCCGGAGAGGGTAATACAGGAGCAGATTGAAGAGAAAGCAGAGTGTCATTCAGGGTCTTGTGGAATGTTTGAATTTTATTCAAAGTGCAAGGGGGAGCTAGTAGAGGTTTCCAGCAAGAGGATGCAGATGATGTGGCTTATGATTTAAAAGATCACCGGTGTGGATTAAAGAAGGGGAAAACTCTAACAGGGACCGTTGGAAGGCTGTTGCAGTGGGCTGGTGACTTCTATTTGGGTGGTAGTGGTGGAGGAATACAGGCTCTATTTTGGATGTAGAACCAACAATACTGGTTGATAGCATGGATGGGGGTTGGTGGTAGAAGGGGTTGAAGAAAGGAAAAATCAAAGACTTCCACATCTATGTGGTGGACCTCAAATTTAGAAATATATATATATATTTTAAAAGATTTTATTTATTTGACAGAGAGAGACACAGCGAGAGAGGGAACACAAGCAAGGGGAGTGGGAGAGGGAGAAGTCAGGCTTCCCGCCGAGCAGGGAGCCTGATGTGGGACACGATCCCAGGATCTGGGATCATGACCTGAGCCGAAGGCAGACGCTTAACGACTGAGCCACCCAGGCGCCCCTAGAAATATTTTTAACATATATTCAGCCTCCACTTACTACTGGTTGTACTTTGAAAATTAATAAAAGATTAAGCAACATATGAAAGGGATTCTTCTTGGCTGTTTTATTCTTCTAGTTGCTGCCCTCCTGGTGTC